CTTTTGCTCACCTATGAATCTAGACTAGAGACGAATCAAGGTACTGTTGTGAACTCTGAAGGTACACAGCCATATGCAAATGTGGTTACTCAGAGTGTTCAGAGGAATTTCAATCAAAACTTCATTCAGTTTAGAGGAAACAAAAATGGAGGTCAAGGTGGTAGAGGAGGAAGAGGTCCATATAGGGGAGGAGGCCGAGGCAGAAACTAAGGAAACACACATCAGTGTCAAATTTGCCATGGAATGAACCATATAAAAGACAAATGTTGGTATAGATATGAGTCACAACACAACAACCAACGAAATAACCAGAGACAACAAACTCCAAGAAGAAACCCCAACCTCAACAAGGTGCAAGATCATGGAGGGGATACCTATTCTGACATAGGTTCTGAACCAGTTGGTTTCCAAACTCAGGGGCTTCAAATAATGTGACAAATGAATTAAAGAACTTGAACATTGCAACTGAGTATAATGGTAGCAGTAAGTTTCTGACGGGAAAAGGAAAAAGAGTATCAATCTCTCACTATGGTAGTTCTCTTATTCAACTCCCTAGTCGTTCAAAAATCTTTGTCCTTAAAAATCTATGGCATGTTCCCAAGATTAGCAAAAATATCCTCAGTGCATCTCAATTTGCAAGGGACAATAAGGTGTATTTTGAGATTCACCAAATGCCTGTTTTCTAATGTAACAAGCAACTCAAGAGGTCCTGCTCAAGGGAATACTTAGAGAGGGTCTCTACTAGTTCAACTTGCAGTGTATGTAGAAACATTGTAGGATGCGAGTTGGTCTTCAAAATTAAAAGGAGGTCAGATGAGAGCATAACTAAGTATAAGCTAGGCTTGTTGCTCAAGGATACTCACAAAAACAGGTTTTGACTTTACAAAGATTTTTAGTCTAATCAAGCACAATACCAAAAGAATAATCCTTACATTAGCCGTTTATGACTGGAAAGTGAGATAGTCAAATGTGAACAATGCTTTTATTAATGGGAATCTTAATGATGCCATTTATATAAGACAACAACCAGGATTTGAGTTGGGAGGGAGTGAACATCTTTTTGTAAACTTTTTGGAAACTGTCCAAGACCTTGTATGGCTTGAAACAAGCATCAATGGCATGGTTCAATAAAGTCAAAGAGGCACTAAAACTAATATGGTTAGAGGACTCAAAGGTTGATAACTCAATGTTCTTCAAAATCAAAGACGACATACTGTTGTTTATTTTGATATATGTTGATGATATCTTGGTGATAAGGACTCATCACACTATGAAAGTTGAAGAGTTCATAGAATCTCTGGGAAAGATGTTTGCTATTAAAGATCTTGGTGAGATAGAACACTTTCTTAAAGTTAAAATATCCAAAACAAAGGAAGGATTGCACCTCAGTCAAGGTAAATATGTACTGGAATTACTGAAGAATGAAGAGAATTAAGATGGAAGATGCAAAAGGTTTGCCCACTTCTATGGTATCCTCTCTTCACTTGTCCAAGGAAGGTGGAAATCCAACAGTTAATGGAACATTATACCGAAGTGTAGCTGGGGCACTACAATACATCACCTTGACAAGACCTGAAATCAGTTTTGTTGTGAACAAAGTGAGTCATTATATGTCTTGTTCCTTCGATACACATTGGAAGTAGTAAAGAAAATTTTGAGGTATCTATTAGGAACACTAGATCATGATTTACACTTTAAGAAGTCAGATCATCTTGAGCTCAGTGCCTTTTCAAATTTAGACTAGGGAGCAGATCTTGATGATAAAAGATCTATGACAGACTACTGTGTGTTCCCTGGAGGAAATTTGATATCTTGGTGCTCAAAGAAACAAACTTCAGTCTCAAGAACAGAGGCTAAGTATATGAGCTTAGCACATTCAGCCTCAGAGGTGACCTAGATTCATTCCATGCTTACAGAAACTGGTTTGGGGTTGGTTAAAACTCCTGTGATTTGGGTAGACAATCATAGTGCAGTATTTCTGGCCTCTAACTCAATTATACATGGTAGAACAAAGTATGTAGAACTTGATTATCACTTTGTGAGAGAGAAAATTGAAAAGGGACATCTTCATGCAAGTCATATACCCTCGGTTAAACATGCTGGTGATATTTTCACTAAATCTCTCTCTTTGCAATTCTTCTTTATCAGCTGAAAAACAAACTGAGAGTCACAAGCATGCCTTCAATTGAGTTGAGGGGATGTGTTAGCAATTTGGGAGTTTTAATGATGATTTGATGGAGTTTTCTCGGTCAAACATAGAAGAAGAAAAGCAACACAAAACTCACATGGCCATGCAAGCTCATGTGGTCCCAAAAGCAACTCTTAATTTGGAGCATTTGTAGCCATTGGGTTAGATAGGAATTTGGGACACTTGTCTAGTTTATCCACAATCCGTGTATAGTTTATAAGCTCCTTTACCAACTCAAAAAAACCTAATGAAAGTGTATGTGATCAGTCCAACTACTCTTGCAAGCAATGAGATATGATTTCTTGAGCATGAACTTACTTTGTGGATCATTTGTTATTGAAAGGTGAGTATAATGAACCAAGTTGATGTTAAGACTTATATAGCATACTATTTGTGTAAATAGGTCAAATTGGTGGAACATTTATGATATATTGACTTTATTATTACTTAATTTTATCTCACTTATATTGTGCCCTTTTCGTATTGTTTGATTACCGTTTATTAAATGGAACAATTCAAATTAAAAAAAAAAATTGAAATAATAGAAAGATGGAAAAATAAAACTATTATCACATTTTAAATTTGTTATTGGCTATACATATGTCAGCAGAAAACAGTTTAAATCAAGGTTTTAATGAGGACATGGTATATCATCTGAATCCTTTTTAATGTGCTACCAAAATTTGTGAAGAAACTGTCAGTTTATTGAATATTGACGTACTAATGTAATATACCTACCCACGGTGGGCACATGTTTAATATGTCAACCGCTTATGTGACAGACACTCATTGGTGATGTATTTTTTTAAACATATTAACATCACCAATATCTGCATGTCACATAAGTGGTGGGCATATGAGCATTATCCATATAATATATATAATTTGCGAAAAAAATAAAAAAGTAATAATATATATGTTGGGCAATATATAATTAATATATGGGTTGATAGAAGAAAGATTCATGTTTTAAATACTTACAGTAATTAAGAGTTTGACCCATCTTTTGTTCTTGAAATATTTAATCCTTCAATGATATATAGCTCAAACAAAGATTCTAAAACTTATTGTATTCTGCAATCAACAATGAATTAAATGCATGTCAGAATTCAAGCTAGCATTAACAAATATACTTGTTTAAATTTTCTTGATATATATATATATATATACAATTTTGCTATGGAGCCCTCGGATGGCTCGGCTTATAGAGTCATCCATAGTTATCCACAAATGGTGTATTGACACGCGTTTTGTAATAAATACACATTGAACACATGTCAATACATAAAGTTATGGATGGCTCCATAAGAGAGTTATTCGATGACTCCATATAATTTCTGTATATATATAAAATGAAAGATTCTGATGGGACATACAATAAATAAGTTATACCTACTATATGAAAACCTTCAGTTAATTTCATGCATTTGTAATTTTGGGGAAGAGAAGAAAGGGATAAAGAAGGGCAAATTGTACAACCTCACTAAGCATGCGATGGAGCGCATCTCTGCCTTCTGAGACTCTTTGCTGTCAGCTATGAAAAATGAGGCCCTCTGTGTTTGTATTTGTTTTAGTTACAATTTTTTTTTTAAAAAAAAAAACAAATTCACTAATAAAATTCAAGTTTTACCTTTTTAATTAGTCAACTATACTTTGTTACAGATCTTGCCTGCATACTTATATTATAAAATGTCAAACTTTTATTTATGTTGTATTGTAAAAAATATGATATTTGATTGTAAAAGTATGAATTTATTGTTGGAAGGTATGATCAACAGAGTTAATATCTAAGTTGTTAAAAGTGGAATGTAATATAAGATTGAAAAATTTCATGGTACATACCAACTGTGAGGATTGTAGCAACAATCTCCCCAAGCTTCAATCTGTATAGTATAGTGGTTTTGCCTGCGGCATCGAGTCCGACCATTAGAATCCTCATTTCTCGCTTACCATGCAGACAAATTGATGAAAATAATAGCTCAAGGGTTCGATTCATGTAAAATGTTCGAATGGAGGTCGTGGATAAAAGATCTAAGTATGGTTTTTATGAGATCAAAACTGGAGGCATATTTACACTTTACCGGAAGGATAAAAAGGTTAATGAATCGGACTCTTGTTACAATTGGTGTTGAGTGAAGGTCACTCTGCATTTGGTTTCACCAATATGGTTTGTGGTCATTTCAAGTTTAGTGCAAAGGCAGATTATTGTAGAGTTGATGTCTAAACGCAGTAAAAATATCTGATCACATCGTTTTGTTGACGACCCTTTACTCTTCAAGATAGCTTTAGACGACAAATTCCATCTTTTTGTTGTTTGGCATTGTGTTTTTGGTGTGACAAACTACATAATTTTGCCATGGAGGGTGGCCTAATACTAAGCTTAGCTTGATTAGTACGGGTTCACACGACTGGATCGACTTGGGGGACTATTGCCTGTGAGCCAAAATGTCTCAAGTGTTGCATTCATCGCCACACCAATATTAGATTTAGCGGTATGGTATTACTTAGCTGTATTGCAATAGATATGTGCCAAGACCTCAGATGTCTTCCATGTTCAGAAACAAATGTTGTGTAATTATCGCTTTTCATCCCGTCGAAAACACATGTTCTACAATTAACTTTGGAAGAAAAAATCTACAAATGCAGACTATGCAGTTTTCCTTCACAACAATCCAAGTTGAAAAATACATGAATTGTTCTTCAAGATTCAAGGAATGGCAACTTATAACGACGACCGATTATGGTAAAAAAATACATTACAAAGAATATTGGGCACAATTGAAAATTGGTCATAATTGCAGTGTAGGAAATTCTATTTTCCGGAGATGGCGTCCTTTGCGGACTTAAGGGTGGAGGCTACAGAGGCAGCGGCATTTGCCAAGATGCTGCCGCTAGTACTGTCGGAAGAGTTTGGCGGCAAATGTGGCTGATGAACAATTTGGACCGAGTGCAACTGTTGTTGGCCTTGACCAGCCAATACACGGTAATCCACAGTCTCTACCGTTCTCTCGCCTTGGCGTTGGCCATCACTAGAGTTACTAATTCCCTGAAATTATTTTATGTTTTGCAACACTTGTGTCAAGATAGTAATTAGGGAGATATAGAAGAAAGATGAGGAAAAGAACAATTCATGAGCTGATGAAGGTGTACCTTATTTGCTGATGCATTCATATTGTGCTTCTAGCAATTTGATTTACAAAGGTGATTTGAGTTTTTGATATGCCTGTGTGTTCATGTGTGATTTATCATATAGAGACAAATTTATATGTTTATATATATTTTGTTTGGAGAATAATTTTAACCAACTTTTTTTCCAAATAGAAATGGTCTTTGGCTGAAGAGTAAGTTCCGGGTTAATCGTTATAGGTAGCCATATTGCCATCAAATTTTAACAAACATGTTGAGAATAGTATGCAGATAAATTTATCACACAAATAAGTCATCACCAAGTGTCTTCATCTATTTCTCCACAAGCAACCAAAAATAACAGACAAGACCAAGAAAATCTTCAAACATACACAAACAGAAACAGTATGCAGATAAATTTATCACACAACGAAGCAACAAATGCAGCATTGTGTGGAGAAATGAAGAACTCGGGCAAAAGAAGGACCAGTCATTTCCAGCAGTTGCAACTTGGATAACAATGGCCTCATTTCACGACACATTTTTTGACCCACCCGAGAATTATGAGGAAAAAATTGCATCATTGTAGAGCATCTAAAGTTTCACATGTCACACACAACACAGTAAACAGTAGCAAGGGATGAAGAAGTAGTTCCTTAAACATCAAAACTAACAAATGATACGATATAGTGCCACAATCATGATATCCCTAAGATCATACTCTTGGACATAAAAAATTGAGTTTCTTTCTTTTTGCTTACTAAATTTATTACAAACAAGGATCAGGCCAACGATCCCGTTGAACCCTACTAAGCATCGAATAATGACTGTTTTATGGTTCCAACTATGAGTAGGGAAAGAAACAAGAGCAACCATTTGAACCCAATACAAATCGAGCCACCATTTTTCATGATATCCATCAAAGATCAGTAAGTAACCAGAGGTGACCCACTGCAATGCACATCAGAGGACTCGGCCAACCGTTGCCTAGGAGACAAGGTATTGCTAGCTGCAACATCAACATCAATGTTACTAATACCTTTTCTCTTTTGAGTATCAGCCTTCATTTTGTTCTCTATTTCTTCAGACAACACATGCTCCGATGATGTTAAACAAGCCTGATCCTCTGGAACCCCCGATTCATCATCATCATCTGCAGCGTATAATATCCCTTTTATTGCTTTAACCACCTGCATCATAAATAAAAATATGTGTCCGTAACTCCGTATTTTTCATTTATATTATTCATCGCGCTTTAAAAAGAAGGAAAAGAAAACCTAAAATGCTAGCAATCAGTACGTACAGGCAGCTTTTCAGTATCAGGGTTCTGGCACAAGATCTCAATCTCCCTCAATCTTGAAAAGTAGAAATCCCTCTCCTTCTCCAGACTATCTACAGATAGCTTCAGTTCGGTAATCTGCTAGACAGGCGGACAAAAGAGATAAGGCACTGAATGTTCTCGATGCAAGCACAAAAATCATATGCTCGGTAAAAGAGATTTTTTACCTGTTGCTCAAACATTGTGCGTTCTGCTTCAGGCAAGACGGGGTGAGCTACCCCACCACTTGAAGATGGTCTAGGAGCTTTAACAGATTGGCCTCCCGTGTTGGCATGAGATGCCTCTGTCCTTCGACTATTATGTTTGGGGGCAGATGCCGTATTCCTTGCAGAAGATTGTGACACGGTGGATTTCTTGCTCAGCTCTTTCCCGCCCTTGGATGTCTCTCTCCTTTCCAGAGGGTTGTAACTAATGTAGACAGTACAAAAATGAATGAAATAAATGATTCCATAAAGATATTTCCACATTTTTTTGTTCAAATTTTGCTTGTAGAGATAATAATATTATTCCACCAAAATAATTCTGAAACTACACACTATATGAAATGAAAGTATGTCCAACACGCAAACGCGGTCATTCAGGGGTCAATCTATATGCACAAAGCACAATTAATATCCCAACTTCAATAGAATGCAGTTCTTTAAACTTTTCTCATTCGTCGAAAACATTTTTTTTTAACTATCAGAAGCTCAACGGCTAAGCATTAAGATATATGTTCATTAATTTAATCCCTCAGAGAACCCACCCCGCAGTGAAGCATAAAATGGTAGATGACGAATTAGTACAGAGTATATTCTTTTCGAATTGTTTGCGACCTCCTCAATATCATGACTGAGAATGAAGCAAATGAAACAGGTACAAATGGTCATTCGAAGATTCATAGTACTCTAACTTCCTTCATCCGTAAAAGACCTTACAGTTCAATGTGCACTAAAAATTGCCACAATAAAGTTGCCTCGGACATTTTATTTAACACTCTAGGTCATAAAAGAAAGTTATGATAACAGCAAAAAATCTATCACATAACATTTGAAAAGTACCAAACGCAAAAATTCTTAATTAGTTTACATGAACACAAATCAACACGCGAGCACTTCTGATTCAGCTCGAGAAAAACTTCTACAAATCAAGAAAAGAAAAACACCGAAAAGATTGAGTTCCAATACTTACCTGTTCATGTGCCCTCCATTGTTACTGTCACAGTAACGCTTCATCCATTGCATAAATTCCAAATTGTCCAGCGGCCTGCCTTTGATCAATTTGTTTACCTCGATATGCTGTGCTCCAGAAAATACACGCATCACAAAAACAACAATTATAAACCGTTCTCTTCATAATCACACAAACAGAAACATAATTTAAGAACAACAAAAGCAGAACATCGAAAAGCTCGCAGACAAACTACAATATGTTTACCTTATTGATCCTCAATTTGTTGAAAACATCTTGAAGCCAGATAACACACACACATCACAAAAACAAAAATTACAAACCATTCTCTTCACATTTGCACAAGCGGAAACAGGATTCAAGAACAATAAAACTAAAATTAATACAAAATTATCATATCTAATAAGTAATAACCCATCAGCCATGTAAATTCATCCCAAAAAAAAAAAAAAGCAGAACATCGAAAAGCTCGTAAACAGACTAAAATCCGTTTACCTTATTGATCTTCAATTTGTTGAAAACATCTTGAAGCACCTTGTAGTTCTGGATCATCTCGTACTCGTTCTTCGCATCGTAATTAACCTTGTGCATCGGCACCATCCCTGGGTGAACCGCATCCATTAGCTGGCAATGGACAGCGCCAGTGCAAGCCTGTGCAACACTCAAAATGAACTTCAAACTTGTAAAAAATCACATTGATCGACTGAAACAATTACAGATTTCCGATTGTTACCTCTTCGACTTTGGAAAGGCTGAGATGAAGGGTAGAATTGATCCACGAAAGGATTTCCGATCTGCCGACGAAATATGCAGAGTCCATCATCCCGATGTTGGTTGCCATTTCGTCGGATTCTTATTTTGAGTTTTCGTTCAAAGAGATTTGTGCTTGTGAGTGAAGTGTGTGTGTTTTAGATGAGGATGGGGTGGAGAAGCGGGAAGTTGATTTCCTTTTATAATTCAAAATTTGTGAGGGTTTGGGTATGTATTCTTGGACTGGGCTTAATATTAAAGAGTCGTAGGGTGCAGCGAATTTCGTTTCGGATATTACTTTACACGAGTTAATGCGACTAAATTTGAAAATTTTAAAATTCTGTTTCACATTCTATTCCTATCACTTATTTCCCCATCTCACGTGTCGATGGTTATGGGACCGATTGAACGAGCTGGCTCAAAGAGTCACCGGACCATGGATTGTAGGAGGGGATTTGAACTGCCTCCTCCGAGTTTCCAAAAAGCATGGGGGTTCGGTCAGGAATTGTAATATTGGCTTGGCCTTTGCGGATTGGATTTTTAAAGACCTTTATGAGCTGAGGACGGACGAGGACCAAATATTTGAGCCAATAAGTGGTCGGTTATTCTATTGATAGAAATGTGATTCAGTGACCAGTTTAATTTATAATCAAGTGTGCGAGTACCATTCCTTACTATTATATGTTTTACTCAAAAAGAGGGGAAAAGAATTAACGTATCATCTCTTTGCAATTATATTTGAAAATACCGGTTTTGCTATTGAGCCATCCGATGGTTCGGCCAAACATGAGCAATAATGAACCCGACCCTACTTACAACCTCACTACTTCTAATGTCACATTAAACTTGAAATTCATGGCCTCCCAACGTACAATAGTTATCAGAGTTGTATTTCACAAAATTTGTTCCTTAGCACAATTTGGCAACCAACGAGACGTTCTAATTATGTAAACATAATTAACCAAAAAAAAAGAAAAAAAAAATCAAAATAAGCTGACAAGTAGGAAACCCACACCCACACGAACACACGATTTGCAGTACAAAATTAGCACACAAAAGTGGCTGTCATACCAAAGCCAAATTAAACCCACAAAACCTATGACACATCAATCGAATCAAAATCCTGTCTAAAGAAAAATCCAGAGGATCACAGTCAGTCAAACTTACATACACCACTACAGCGAAAACGAAGAAGACGGCAACTTGTCGAGCGCGTGGAGCGCCTCCCTCATGGCCGGCCTCTTCTGCGGGACGGACGAGATGCAGCCGTAACCCAACCTCAACAGCCCCAGGAACGCCTCCTCCTTACCCTCCACGTCACCCCTGATCGCCACGTCAGCCATCCTCAGGACCCTCCCTCTCTCCTCGTCAGACGACGCTGACATGGCCCCGACAGCAAGGGCGGAGCCCGACTCGTCCGAGGCTATGACCTTCCCGGTGAGGAGCTCGAGCAGGACGACACCGAAGGAGAACACGTCCCACTTCGGGCTGGGCTTCAGGCTGCGGAGGGACTCGGGTGCGTGGTAGGGTGATACCCCGATCACGCTCGGGCTCGGGCTTGGGGTGGGCCCGCTCGTGTAGTCCTGGAAACTGTCGCGCGAGGCTGTCGACCGCTTGCTGCCGAAGTTGCGGGCCGACCCACCTGTTCCGGGCCTCGAGGTGTTGTAGTCGCCGGTGACCAAGCGCTGGAGCCCGAAGTCGCCGATTTTGGGCTCCATGTCCGGGCCCAGCAGGATGTTGCTGGGCTTCAGGTTGCCGTGCACTTGCTTCTTCTCGTGAATGTAGCAGAGCCCACGGGCTACTCCCCTTGCTATCTTGAGCCGGGCTTCCCATGGCACGTGGCAGGGTGAGGAGCCGGCTTTTTCTGAAAAAAAAAAGACGAATTATATTGGTTTTTATTTAATTAAATTATATGAACAAAATTAAGCATGATGTATAATTTCAAATTTAAAAAAAAAAAAAAAATGTGGGACGTCATGGAGAAGGACATTAGGGTTAAAATAAATGCGGCGGGGACACGAATATCGCTATCGTGCGCTGTAGGCGGAGGATAAAGATACGATTTATGAGCTACCGGACACAAATTGACTTGTTGTAAAGTGGCTAATTACCTGTGCAGGAAAAAGGAGCATTAAAGACAAAAGTTTCGGTTACAACAACTCCACCGTTCAAAATCTCAGCCCAGTCTCTCTCAGCGCATGTTAGCACGGTGTCCGTTTGTGTGTGTGTGTGTGTGTGTGTGTGGGAACTAGTTTGAGTTTGGAGGATAGTTGGGTAAAGTCTGACTTGTTTTTGGAAGATGCTACAGTCTCGTTATGGAACCATTCTGTCGTAATTTATAACCGTTAGATCAACTATCTCTGACGGTTACATAATGATCTAACGGTTACAAACTCCAACGGAATGGTTCCGTAACGAGATCTTATTAACATTTTTCCTTGTTTTTATATTAAGTGCGTAACTAATGGGGCATCAATCACATACACAGCTCTATGGTTCAATTCAATAATTTAAATACAAATACTTGTACAATTTAAATGGAACTTTGCATTAATTATGGTGACAACAACTATACAATAAAAATAGCCTCTTTTGGTTTAGCACATTATTATTATGATGATGCCTAAAGTGGCACTCAATAAGTGAAGACAATTATGCAATCAGAGGTAGAGATGATAACTAATTATGGAAACCTAAGTTCAATTTTCTTGGCCAAAGAATCTTTGGGGTACATAATTGGATTTCAATTTTTACCCTAATACCACTTATGGTGTGAGATGACTGGAGTTGGCCAAATCTAAAGAGTTATACTTTTTTAAAAAAAAAAAAAAAATATGCATATATTATAATGTTGTACTAGGAAAACAATATAAATAAAAATATGACATTTAATAAATAAATATGTATTTTTGTTAAAAAAAAAATTACGAATCGAGCAACTTAATGATTAACTTGTCTGTTCTAAAAATTGGCCTAGGCGCTAGGCATTGTTCGGCCACCTCTGATTTGCATAAATTGACTGAAAAAAATCAGTCAGGCGGGCTAGGCGGGCTTGGTGGCGCCTAGGCGTGCCTAGAAGGACCTAGGCGGGCTTGGTGGTGCCTAGGCGGGCCTAGACGGACTTAGGCGCTCCTAGACGGGGTCGACGGAGATTTTTCATGTATTTATTTTTTAGATATTAATTACATTTATTTTATCATGTTTTTTTTATATAATATACTAATATTATTATTTGGACTTAGATGTGTTGATTTATTATATGCTGAGATAATTTTATTTTATAGTAGTGAAAATAAATAAGAAATAAGATATCTAATTTTAATTACTAGGCAGTAGAAGTTGATCGAACGCCTAGCAGGCGTCCAACGACTTCTAGAACAATAGAATAAATGAATAATAATTTGAAATAATAATTTTGATTCAATATATCTTTCATATTTTTTTATAGCTAATGAAAATTGCAATTTAATATCAAATCACAGAATGAAACGAAAAGGAAAAAGAGATATGATTGGAAAACTTACTGTAACGTGCGTTAGCAAGGCTGCCATTGGGAACAAAATCATAGATGATGAGCTTTTCGTCGGTGCCCCAGTAAAAGCCTCGAATCCGGACCAGATTCGGGTGTACCAACTTGGCGATTACCCGAACCTGATTCTGGAAATCCCGGAACCTCTCCACCCCATTCTCCCCCACGCGCCTCACCGCTAGCGTGGTGCCGTCCTCGAGCACCGCCTTGTAAACGATGCTGGTCCCCGACGCGCCCAGTATGTAAGCCGACGCCTTCAGCAGCGTCTCAAGCTCTAGCTCCTTCTCTCCGTCCACCGTCACCAGAGCCCCGTCCTTCTGCTCCCGCCCCGGCGCGTGCGCCTCACGCGCGCTCCCCTCGTCCTCCGTCTCTGAGCTTCCCGACTCCGACCGGCAGCTTTCCTCCCCGGCGGCGTGCCGGTGATTTCTCAGGCAGGTCCACCCCCGCAGCCAGCTGCGCTCCTCCGAGGACGACTCGGAAGAGGACGCCCAGTCGAACTCCCGCGCTCTCTCCGCCTCCTTTTTCATGGCGGCGGCGGATGCTCTCCGCCTTTTCAGCTGGTACACGTAGAGGAACACCACCACCAGGATCCCGATGCCGGCGATGTCTCCTGCGACGATTCCGAGGATTGTGCCGGGCCTCAGCCCGGCTCCTCTCGACTGGCTCCGGCTCCCGGCGGCGGCCGGTTCGGAGCCTATGGTTTTTGGTATGGCGGCGATGGCCGGAGGAGACTCTTGCACTGCGGCACTCGGCAGCGTCGCGGCGGAGGATGGGATGGGGCAGAGTGTCTTCAGCGGCCGGCCGCACAGCTCGGTGTTGCCGGAGTACGATTTCACGTCCTGGTTGATAAAAACGTCAGACTCCGGTACCGGGCCGGTGAGGTTGTTGAACGAAAGATCTACCGTCGCGTTTCCCGGGATTTTCCTACCAAACTCCAGCGGAATCTCGCCGGAGAGCCTGTTGAAGGAGACATTCAGGTACGACAGATTGCCGCCGCCGAAATCAGGCGGCAGCGACCCGTTGATCAAATTCGAGGACAGATCCATAACTCGAACCGAATCGAACCCGCCCGGAATGACGCCTGAGAAGTAATTATTCTTCAAGGAAACCGCCGTCAAATTGTGGAGACCCGACAGGTTCCGAGGCAGGGAACCGTACAGAGCGTTGTCCGACAGATTGAGCAGCCGGAGGCTCCCCATTCTCCCGACGAGCTCCGACAGCTCGCCGGAGATCAAATTGTTGGACAAATCGAGCGACTGAAGCTCGGGTGCCCGGAAAAGGGAGGCCGGTAAAGACCCGTTGATTGAATTGTTTGACAGGTTCAGGCTCCTGAGGTGCTCGATCATTCCAAGGGTGGACGGGATCGGGCCCAAGAGACCGGAATCAGGGAGGGAGAGGCCCGTGACACGATAATATGCATCGGCCGAGCCCGGGACGCCACAGGCAACGCCACGCCAAGAGCACGGCGTCTGGTCATAGCTGTTCCAGCTTTGAAGGACTCCGTATGGGTCCTTTAATATGCTGTATTTGAATGAGAGCAAGAGGATGCCGTCAGTGTTGAGCCCGAATGATACGGCCCGAAATAGGATGATTACTGATACAGCCCGAAGCCGCCATAGGTGGAGGAGATCAGAACTTGGGGAGCTCATGCTATCGTGCGTCGATCCCACATCTCTGTCTCAGTGTAACTGAAAAAGTTGAGAATTTTTTTAGAGAGAGAGAAAACAGAGTAGCAGATTGCAATGGGGACTGAGATTTGTGATATATAATTAAAATTAAAATTATAATTAAAATGATAAGATTAATAATTAAAATGAGTACTGACAGTACTAATTAATTTTTTTAAAAAAAAAAAGAAAAGAAAAAAAAATAAATTAAATTTATGGGGAAAGGTACGCACTACGCACAACAGCTCACCAAAAAAACCGAACTTCCTCACCAAAATGCTCTGTTCAGACATTAATGGCAGACTAAATTAATGTAGGGATATATAAATATATAGTACTGTAATAAATAAGACATTAATAATTTAATTAATGGTCCTTACATTATGATGATTTATGATATGGCTCCTCAGATGTTGTATGATATTTTTTAATTAATTGAAGAGATAAATTATTATGGGTGGAATAGCATATTTGCTAGGTGACATAAGGGTAGAGTCAAGAATTTTTCGCAGTATCTATCGAACATATATGGCATTGTATTGACTTTAATAAGGAGGGGATATGTGTTTAAAAAAATATTTGGATTTCTGTCTCATGTTTCCTTTATTAACATGGGATGTCACACATAAATCACATTGTCATGTTGTCATTCACACCCCTCTTAACAATGTAGATCTTGGGAGTAATAGATAGATCTCATTAGAATGTTGCTATATAACATTCAGCACCAAATAATTTGACAGATGAACTCGAGCTCGGCTCGTTAAGGCCTCGAACACGAGCCGAACTCGAGACTTAACGAGCCGAGCTCGAGTCGAGCCGAGTCAGACTCTTTTTATTTAACAGCACTACTCATGCTATACGATTAAAATGTCTAATAGTTTTTCGGGTCGAGTTTATTTGAGATTTTTAAAGAACTAAAATTTTTTTAGAAATCCTGATGATTTAGTTTGAATATTTTAAGACTTTTTGTAAGATTTGAAAAGTGTCGGGGTATTCATTTGAGATTTTAAGAATTGTTACAAAAATTTGAGTAATTTAATTTATAATTGGAAATTATGATTTATTAAGAGTTTTTAAGATTTGATGAAATTTCATAAGAAAAAATTTATTATACGAAATCACACTCTAAATCTCACTTAAAGACTTAAAATTTCATTAAATTCTGTTGTAATAATATGGTATTAATCGATGCAATATGTACCTCACGAGCGGGTTTCTAATACATGTAAAGCTCGGGAAGATATCTCCGACGTAAAAATTTCGACGCTCAAATTATTTGACACAACAATAAAGGTTCTTTATACGGTTTTGCATGGATTTATATGAAAAAAAAAAAAAAAAAA